CCCCCCCCCCCCCCCCCCTCGCAGTGCCCTCGAAGTGATGTTGTGTCGGCGGAAGTCGGCATGTATCTGTTTGGTGTCGCGTTAGTAGTTGTCTATTTCGTTGTTGTTCCGGTAGACTGGAGCGTTGGAAGGGGACCTGTCCATCTGCCGTTGTTGTTTTGTTGTCTTTCTCTCTCTCTTTTTTTTTCTTTCTCTTTTCTTTCTTTCTGTGCGTTTCGTTCTTTCATCCCTTTGACTGGGGTCGTCGATCGTCGTTCCTTTACTATTGGTTATTTTTCGGTTGGATAGCAAATCGCGCCTTGGAAGAATTTCTGGTTGCCATTTTTGTTCTTGTATTTTTAGAAAGGCGCCTTGGAAGAATTTCTGGTTGCCATAGAAAGGCGCCTTGGAAGAATTTATTTCTGGTTGCCATTTTTGTTCTATTATTTTTAGAAAGGTGTAACCCCCCCTGTGGGGGGCAGTTGGCTTGTGACCACGGAAGGCCTCCGCGTCAGTTGGACCATTACTATACGGACATTAGAAGGTACTGAGTGGAGACCGGAACGATTTTTATGTGAAGACAACAACAACACCAACAACAACTTAATTGAGGACTCCATATTCGCACTTCAGTGTTGGTGACTTTTCACGGACTGGCTGCCGACTGTACCCTGACTTCTGAATAAGGCGTACTGATCGCCGCCTCCGATAGAAGTAACAAGTTGTGTTCTACCAACCCATCCTCAGGCAATTTACTCTCTCCGCATGACGCAAGACAAAGCACCTTACACTGCTATGCATGGTTTCGTGCGTGTCCCTATCCATCACAACGAAAGCAGGGGAAGTTGAGGCCGCTGTCGTGCGCCCAACACATCAATCTGCAAGCTACACACCCGCCCTGAACATACAGTCGTGTTCAGTTTTACGACTTGAGATGCGTGGTTCAACATGCCTTATACGAGATGCATACAATATCGAGTAAATCCAGGTCGCACAACGTCATTTGGTTGCGGTAGTAGTGTGTATAACAACCTTATAGATTTGTTCCAAAAAAACATCGGATCCGAAAGAAGATACTTCGTACTCCGGTATGTGCCTGGGATGAAAGAAAGTGTACGTGTCCGTGCGGGTACAGTAGTTGTGTTGTGGCTCACAGCAGTGCACACAGTGGGCGCGCTACGCCCGCGCTGTGAGAACATCGTTCATTCCCGTCCGGGAGCGGCAGGAGCAAAGAAGAAAACTGCAGCTTTATGTACCTGTACCCCAGATGCAAACCACACCGTGTTGTCCTTGGTACATATGCATATGTACGCCATAGCCAAACTCGAATTAATTCAAACCCATGACCACTCACTGCATGGAAAGCTAGCCTAAGTTCTTGTACGGAACACCGCACATCGTCTACTTGTGGAAATGGTGCCAACACGCAGAGGCGGAAGATAGCACCAGTCGGGGAGATGGAAAACGGGGTACGTGCAAACTACGCCGCCGTACGTACACTAGTAGTGCGAGTAAGGCGCGCTGTGTGTGTTTCATTGGGCATCGCACCGGTCGAAGAGATCGAACCGGGGCGGGTGCCTTGAAAAAGATAAATGGGATGATTTATTTGAGTTTCCGCATCATGGTCAGAGAGAGAGAGAGAGATCGTTCCGGTCGGTCGGAGAGATGGCACCAGCAGGGTGCAACAAAAAAAACACGGAAGAAGACACACACATCCAACAAAGCGATCGCACCCGGTGACCACGGCTGATATGCATACGTCAGATATATACGCCGAAAGGGCTGCAAATCGGCGCGGGATAGATGGGACAAACATACATATGCATTACACATGCATACACACCCGGTGCGATCTCTCCGACTCCTATTACGGCAATCTGTACTCTGCTGTGTAAATTCTTCGGGTAGATTTTTGTTTTGTCTGGCATTTCTGAACGACAAGAGTGATGGAGTGAAACAACCGCGCGGTTGGTTGTGGTCCGAAGGACCACAGCACACACAACCTAATGGTACATAAAGTCCGCCTTGATGAGATGCTTACCTGCAGATGACGACGTAGGTTTTCGCGATGTGTGTTTTCTTCTTCTTGCTGCTTGCAGGGTGGCGAGTATAGTGGAAGGAGTGGCTTGTGTGTGCAGCGTGCGTGCTGCGAAACTTGGCGTTCGATCTTGCCTCCCCTGGCTGACGTCATCTATGCGTGTGCCTTCTATTCTGACTGATTGATTGCCGAGGTCACGGAATTTTTTTTAAGGCGCGTCATCGAGAAGCGGGTTTTCCGCTCAGTACATCTCTGACCCACCCCTGACCTCGGGCCGACTCTACCGGCTCACAGCAGCAGCAACTAATGCGGGTAAAAGGCGCAGAAGACCGTTCGTATTTTTTTCCGTTGTCTATTGTCCTACAGGATATTCTTGTAACGTTGCCATAGGTCGGACTAACCGCCTACTGCATGCAGTGATCAGTACCTTGCGAAGCCCGCCGTCCGTATTACCCTCTCTCCCATCACTCCCTACATGCATCTACATACCCTACATGTTCTTTGTACACGCGCCTTGCAAATAAATACAGTCTTCATTACTTTTTTCTCTAGATACGTTATTTATCCTACCGCACGAAATGCGTTCAGCATGGAGGTCTACTGCTGCTGCTGCAGTTGATGCCTCGAGTTTAAGGCCGGGCTCGTTGCTGTTCTTTTGCGGTATATTTCCGCGGTTCCAGAGTGTTCGCCCAGAGCTCCCTTGTTGGTTGTTCGTTGATGTATGTATGTCCAGAGATATCCCACATAGTCTCCCCATTACTCATATATATGTAGGTGTACATGTACGTACGTACGTAGTTAGCGCCCGCAATTAAGAAATAATAAAAACAATATATAGACTCACTTTTTCACGAAAAATAAGAAAATAGGGTCAAGAAACATAGCTCAATTTTGGTAACATAATAAGAAATGTCTCAACAAGAAACACAGCAGCGACCGCTGCCCTACTACATAAGAAACGAGGGAGTGTGTCGAATAAGAAACAAACCCCACAGCTCTCTCGCTCTTTCCCCCTTTCCCCCTACCCCCCCCCTCCCATAGAGCAATATTATTAGTTGTACGCCGAGGGGGGAGTGTGTTTTTCGGCGGCGCCCCCTCCGCCCCCCTGCGGGCTCTGCACTCTGCTCTGCTGGCGCCAAAGCTCTGGCACAGCACACCAGACAGGCTGCGAACCACGACATGCTGTCTGCTGTACACGGCTTTGATGGTGCTCTCCGCCAGCTCACGAAATAAGAAACATGATATATGAAACTGAACGACACACGCTGGGTTTATAGCCGACAATAAGAATTCGAGGCTGGACCTGAAAAAAGCGTTTCTTAATTGCGGGGGTTAACTGTATTGTAACTCAAGCACACAACTCTTCTTTCGGTTGAATACTATGGCGGCCACGGTGTTGTCTAATCGAAGTTTGTTGTAGTCGCTCTGTGTACCCATGCAATGAAATGGTCGACAATCCCGAACTACATCACATACGTAAATGATTGACTTCATCGACCATCGCCGCGCAGCACACGTCGGCCTTCTCGCAGACCTACTCGACATCTATAACCTTATGCCCCCCCCGCCCACTGGGGGCGGGGGGGCGCGATGCTTCACCCTAGTACCTCTTAGTTAAAAACAGAAACATGTTTCCGGGTACACTTCGGGGGAATAACACACTTTAATATTATTGGAAGATCACGTGGGACGTCCAATGGGACATTGTGATGGAGCAACTACATAGTGTATGAGCGTTATTTGGTTAGTCTAGGGGGCCAAGCAGGTTATGAACGAGAAAGAAAGAGGTTTTCAAGCAAACCCTGTGGGTTGCGGGGTGGCCGTCACGTCCGGGTAGCCTCTTCTGGCGCATGGTGCATAAGATACATGTACACAGCACGTCTCACTATGTAATGCGTATTCATGGCCAATGACCGAGAAAATAATTCCACGGCTCTTATGAGCAAACAATAGCCCACCTTTGGTGGAGCCACCGACCGTCGTAATGTTTCGACGGCACGACGCTATCAACCACACCCTCCAAAATCACCAGCACCATCACCATCATCACGATCACTACCACCCCCACCAACAATATGACGTGCACCCATCACTCCCAATCCCGTAGTTAGTCTCTTTCGTCTATCTTTCAAGAGATTCAGATTTGATTTCTATGAAATACAGCTAATGAATGCAACCCACACGTGACACGCAGTGACGGTACTACTGCGAGCATTCTTCTGCCTCGTTCAAATGGGTTCTGACTCCGAGTCCGACGCTACTTCTTTTCCGATTTTTTTTCCGTGCCGAATCAACACAAGCCATCTCCACCCGTCCACAGGACCAAGATCTATGGATTCATATACTCCTACCATTGTTTCTACTTGCAGTAATACCTTTCACAGGAGCGAATTCGTTCCACTACTGTTGTGACCTCTGTGTAAGGCCATTTCATTTCATTTCCCGGTCCATGCCCGTCCTCGTCGACTACCCCGCCATACCCGGGTTTCTACCGCAGCTGTGATGCATTCGTTCTGTTGTAACCTATGGCAATGGACTGGTACTTCATTCCAAAGATTTCCACTTCATATATTTTCATTTCTTTTCTCGGTCCATGCCCGACGACGGTCCTCTTCGGCTACCCGCCCTAGCGTGCTCATCCTCCCTCTCCTTCTCCTTCTTGGCGCTGATCACTTCCCAATCCACGGCCACCTTTGTAGGCCGTACAATCATAGGCGAATGAATGATAGACCGGTCGTTGTGCCGTTCGTGTTTGCTTGGAGTGTTCAACAGTCATCCACTTATTATTTAGACCATCGATGTTCCTAGGCCAGATACCATCGACGTAGATGTCCACCATGACCAGGTAAGGCACACAGGAGACTCACTCGTCGGGCGGAGAATGTACGTCCCGAGTGGCTACGCTGGTAGCTGTGTTGATAGGACTGAGGTCGTGTATTGTTCGTCGTTCAGCGACCATTTCTGGTTGGGGGTGGATGTTGATATGGTATGTGCGAGTCTGTCGTCGCCGAAGGCAAGCTTGCAGAGTGAAATTTGACGAACTAGCGTACACCCACCGCGTCAGAGTGAGTAAGTTTGGTCGTTGAATATCTGCACACACTGTTCATACCTGGTATGACTGATGGCGGACGTATCGTAGATTTGTGAAATACGTACGACCGGCGAAGGGTCAAGGCGGCGTCAAGAGCGTACCAAAAACTTTGCAGTGGTGAGCACGTCGGCTTGTGAAAGACTACCCCAACAACCTCCGCCCGCCCCGTAAAATGGACCTCCTTCTCAAGACACGGCTCCTCACCGGTCTTACCGTCCCCATCACCCAAATCACGACCCCTCGCCGGTCTCACCGTCCCCATCATCATCACCTTGTGTCAGGTAAACCCCCCTCACAACAAATTGCACCGGGTTCCTCGCAAGGGGGTCCGTATAGCGGGGTTCCTTACGCCCCTTAGCCCATTTGTTTTTTGCTCTTATATCCTCGTCTGTCAAGGCCGTTGGCCGTTACTGATAAACGATAGATTGTGGAAATAGTAAACCTATACATTTATGTCATAATATCAGAGGTGCATGGTCCCTCGATTCTCCAGCTCCATCGCCCCACCTCGGAATTGGATTGGAAGAACCTCTTGTCGGTCTCTTCCTTGCCCGACGACTTGAGGAAGGCCTGCCGATACCCCAGCACGGTATCCACGTGGGTCTTGTGCTGGACGGCGAGCTCCAGGGCACGGGACCACCGGAAGAGACGGATCTGTCCAAGGAAGGGAGAGGGGCTGGAGGAAGAGGAGGAGGAAGTGATGCACAGGTGTACTTCATGTACCAGAAGCTCCCCATGGTTGACTGTGGCCTTTCAGGAGGTGACGGACAGGTTTCTATATGGACCAGAAGAAGCTGTCCCATGACTGGGTGTAGTTTTTGAGGAGGTGACGTATCGGTAGCCGGTAGCGTGCGGTGCTGGTTGTAGCCTAGTCTTTGAGAAATGGTGCACAGGGCTCGTGTAAGGGTATTTCGATTGTAGCGCTGGCGTCGTCTTTCGACCATAACGTGGGCGTAAACTAATATTTTTGACCACAGCGTGGCGTTAGCCTTGCGATGGCTGACCGTGGTTCTTCCACAACGTGGCCGTCGTATTCTTGGCCACAGGATGGGTGTAGCCTAAAGACCTCTGTGGTCTCCCACATCTTCGAAACCCGGGACCAGCAACGCTGAATCTTCAGCCGCCACGTGATACTTTGAATTACGTGCTAGATTGCTGCCATTGATGGTGCTATCACGCAGACCAACCAATGCTCTTCGGTGTGAGCGTGTGAAAATCGCGAGTAAACTTGCTAAACGGACCTACATGAAGAGGAAAAACAGAAAATATTGGTCAGCCCCAGCCAGGACAAGTGCGTTCGTGCCGTGCATGCAGCCGCCGAATATCGACCGTAGGCCTCATGCCCCTTCAAAGTCGGTCGGTAATGATTTGCTGGTTTACTGATAGTCGCCTATCACAGTCTTCGCTTTGCTTTGGCCATTTGCCTCGCCTCTCAATTGAGACGGATCGCCGGTCATTCTCGCGACAGCCTACGCTCGTGCAAGCCCGACTTGTGCCGCTTCTTTCCTGATTTTTCGTAGGTAGGTGTTCTTCACGACTTGGCAGGGGGTGTACTAATCTCAACGCATGCCGTATAGTCATTGGACCATTGACCTCGCATCCCTACATTGCCGGGAGGGAGCCGCATGTCCGTTTTCCCCGGCCCAGATTGGGTTTCACAAGCATCAAGAAGCCGGTAATCATCCTTGATTTTGGCTTGGGAGGGGGGGGGGGGGGGTGTACTCATAGTCGTGCATGCCGTACATTTACCTCGCATCGCCAGAAAGCCGGGAAGGAACACGCCGGGTTCTCACCGGACCAGGCTCTCGCATCACAAAGTGCGAAGCGCCGTGAGGTGTTCGGCGAGTCGCATGAAGGGTGCGCTGCATCTTGCCAAGATGTTCAGGATCTTGTGCTTGCTGCCTTGCGTACGGATAAAAGCTGCAAATGACGTACTATATTTTCTGGTGCATTTACTTCCAGAGACAGCAATAAGCACTGTGTATCTGCAAGCACTGTGTATCTGCGCCGGGGGTGCTTGACCAATTGAAAAACATCGTGGTGCGATCATCCCCTTTGCGCGGAGTGAGGGTCCTCGATCCCGACAACACGATCTACTCGACCACCAATATGGTTGCCACAAAACCAAAACCAAGGGAAAAAAGCGGCAACCTGGTGGTCGACCTCACGAAGCGATCGGCTTGGTTTACGACGTCGTTGCCATGCGACGAATACTCAGCCCTGGTGGTAAACACCAAACGGTCAGGCTTGGAGCGGGGGCGGGGGTCAACAAACCAGGTGGTGCTCTGAGCGATGGGGAGAAACTTACGTTGAGCTTGATGGCGGGGTAGATGAGGGCGGCGGGGACGCCTGGAGCAGGATGGACTCCGCTTCTTCGGGGCACCGGCGATACAAAGCGAGCTCGGCGTTTCGGCCCTCCTCGCTAGACACCTTCAACACGTGCTGCACGCACTCCAGCTTGTCGACCTGCAATGTCGGGTAGACTGTATGTTTGTGTACATCGTCCAAAAGGTTCCGGACGTCGGACCTTACAGGTACATTTTTTGGGACGTTTTAGCATTAGTTCGTAAGTAAAAACTGGTATGTTTATTCTTTGTTGCTTTGAAGCGACCGAATGATCGGTGCAGCGAGCGGTGGTCAGTATCTCCCGCCTAAAGACCCAATAGAACTCCGTTTCAGACATCAACCAAGCGCGTTCCGCAAGCGTGAAGTTCGCCTACTTCTGTGGGTGATTTTCAAAGCAGATAGTGCTTAACCAGTACCCGAACGGACTCCAGGCGTGGATCGCAAAGGAATTGATTCTGCGTGGGGAGCTGATGGTAGAGTCTCAGCAGCAAGGAGCACACGCAGGTTTAGTTGGTGAATGAACACAGAGCGCGATGATGCGAAATACCGCACTACTGTCCAACAAGTATTTACGTATTTTCTTCACAATACGGAACCTCCTTCGCGGCAACCAAGGCCCCCTCGTCCAGCTGCAACTCCGTGCTACTCAGATCAAGAGCGTGAAAAACGCTGCTTACAGATTGAAACGTTCCCAGTTTCGTGACAAACACGGAGACCAAGTATGCCACTCTTCATGAGTGCTCAATTTTGTTGTTGGCAAGATGTCACGCACCTCCTGTATAGCGGCCAAGGCCTCCTCGGCTAGCTGTAAGTTCTTGCCGTTGAGGGCCATGCAGCCCATGCACGCCCACAGCTCGCGGCTCTGCACCAACCGAAAAGAAGCAACACAAACAAACGCGAAATATGTCAACTACAAAAAAAATCCCAATATGTGCAACCCATGTACACTTTGTATCAAGGCAGTATTAAGCGACGAAAAGCGGGCAGGAGACACAGTAGGTCTTACGGTGCACCTCTCCCACGGCAGAAACTACGGCTGCTTTCTCCTTGTCAAGGACTGACGGAGCCTTTCTTAGGCTAGTCGATCTGATTCCAATGTTTGGAGAAAGCACAGCTACATGTACATAGATCTCTTACGGCGAGTTCCGTCGGTACGGCATAGATACACAAATGTGTGCAACCACTGACGCCTTCCTAGGCTAATCTGACCACAATTACTAGAGCAAGCACAGCCAAATTGGTCTATTTCGGCCCGTCCGACCTTCACATTCACACTCATACGCGCCTGCAGAGTCGGACGGCCTCTTCCCAGCGTTGTCCCCGGACGGAGGCGTAGAGCATGGCTGGGTAAGGGGCCACGGCCGCGCTCAGCAAAGCCCCATCCGCTCTTCTCACCATCACCTTGGCACCGTAGAAAGAAACTACTCTGGGAGACTGAGGGGGGAGGATATGGTAGACAGATAGGGGGGTGGGAAGATCGTGCCAGTCGGGGCGATGGAGAGAGGAGAGGGGGGGAGGACAAGAACGAGAGCACAAGGGGTGGAGGGTACAATGAGGGGAGTAAATGGAGGGGTGATGTACTCATGTTAACGCATGCCGTAGTCGTTAGACCATTGAACTAGCATCCCTACAATGCCGGGACGGGGCGACAGGCCGGGTTTTCGCCGGCCCAGGCCAGGTATGTTTCACATGGATGAACCAGGAGGGGGTGGGTGGGGGAAGTAGATAGTTTTGGTTTGTATGGAGGTCGAGGTGAAGAGAAAATGAGGAGTGTTAAAGGGCGATGCGGTTGTGGGCCAAGCATGATGTCATCACATCATCACCATCATGTCAGACCACTCCAACATCGCGCTTCGGAAAACATCTTCAATCAACGATGGAGACAAACAGCCTTGAAATAATTCAATCCAAGGAAGCAGGTTGACCCACTGTTAAAACTGAACAGTAGAGGCTGACAAAGACTGGACTAGGTGTCCATCAGGATGGCGTGCCGACCGGACATAAAAACGACACGCGTGCATACGGCGAGGCTGGCTCGAGGATTCGTCGACCAGTAACATATTTGTCTATTCTGCGGTGCTCCCGTCGCGTGGTGGCTGTGGGTATGCTTTGAGAGGTAGCAGGCGCCAATCGGGATGCTTGAAAAAAAGTCCACCGGACAGAGCTATGTGTCTAGCCGCACCGTTCTTCGCTACTGTGCGTGGTGTGCGAGTACAACCGGAGGCGGGCCAGAAGGGAAAAAAGAAGAGGGCTTTACCTTGCAGAACTCCGCCGCGTCTCTCGACGTTGACGCTAGCACCAGCAGGTCTCGGTCGATGGCCACGGCGTTGGGGTAGTACCATGTGATGAGGCGGCCGTCGGCGATTGCCGTGAGGATGTCGCCCTTGCCGTTCCAGGCCGCACTCTCCACCTGCAACGACATCCGGAACGGGGGGTCCCGATATTCGATCATGTACCGTCTGGTTTTTCGAAACCCCTCCCCTCAGCGCCAAATGTAAAAAGCAACGACAATAGTAAGAAGACGAAAGCACGTACACGTGTTTGATTTACAAGTATAGTACAGAGGGCTCTCCAACGCGGAGGGCGTGCAGCACCTACCTGTGTGTGCAGCTTGTGTTTTGCAGGCACGGAGCTCCTCCCCGCAGAGCTTGAAACGACGGGGCACAGCCACAGCTTCTTGTTCCTGTCGATGAAAGCGAGGCGTCGCTCCGACAGCCCCTTGGAGAATTGACTCAAGAACACTTCCTCCTGATGGAGACAGACGGGACAGAAAAGACACGCGCTGCGGGATTCAGAACCAAATGCAGTCAAAGAATCTTCTGCCGTCGTCTGTCTGTTTGTCCGGCTTGTCTGAGTGCACGCTATAGCCAGGGATAACAGTACAGGCACTGAGCGCCGATTGACCTGGCAGATTCGACGCGAGGGTTCAATTCAACGACGATATCTGACAAAAAAAGGCCGTTCCCCCACCTTTTTCTCGCCTCCCCCCACCCCTCTGACACTACTCTGCACACCTTTTCTCTCTCTCTACTATCCACCCCCACCTCGACGTTTTCGCAAAGGAGGAGGAGCGAAATGTGCTCGCTGAGTGAATCCTCCAACACAAAATACCTTTGTCCCTGCAACCGGACCCACACACCTTGGGGTTTCCAATTTAGGCCCACGAACTTAACCGCGCCCGTCCCGACCCCTCCAATCCCCCGCTGCCCGCTGCGTACTCTCGCGTACGACCTCCGAACTCACAAGCCCTGCCCCCAAACAAATAGTACTGAGTACTCCATCCCCCCACCCCTAACTACATCGCCCTCGTGCACGACTTCCGACTCACAAGCCCTGCCCCCAAACCGATGTGACTGAGTACCCCCCACACCACATGTATCGTGCACGATTTCACCCCCCCCCCTCCCCAAACCAACGCTTGTGAGTACCCCGAACCCTCCAACTCTCACTACCTGCCCTCGTGCACGACCTCCGGACTCACAAGCCCCTCCTCCAGGTCAATGTTACTGAGTACCCCCACCGGTCATCGCATTTCACTCGTGGACGAAGTCCAATTTCACGCCCCCCCCCAAAAAAAAAACCCGAAAGTACCGAGTACCCCACCCCCCTACCCCTCACCACTTCGCACTCGTGCACGACCTCCGCGACTCTCTCGTCCGCCAGCGGTCGGCCCGTGGCCACGTCACACACGCGGACGCACCTGGGGGAGGAACGGTCTAGGATTGCTACCGCATCCTCGGAGAGGGAGATGGCGCGGCCGCTCAGGTAGTCCGCTCGAAGGTTCTGGAAGCGGGGGTTGCTAACGTGCCTCCCCTCGTAGATCCAAATCTGGTTTGGAAGCGTGTGTGTATGCGTATTTAAGCATCAATCACGCTAACCGGCCGACCAATGAAAATATATCAGTCTCAGTGTGGTTGAAACCACAAAACACTTCTAAATACCATGAACTGGGACCCCTTGGGAGGGGCGCCATGGGAGAGGCTAAGTTATTCTCCGGAATATAGACAGAAACGGTGTGAAAACTGCACGTGTGTGAGTGTGTGTGTGTGTGTGTCTTTGTCTATGTGTGTGAAAACGAAGTGGAGGCTACCGGAGAAGAGAGGAGAGGACCTGTGCGAATGCTGTCGGAGACGTGGGGGACGGACTCGCAAGATGGGTGATAGCGGAACTGAACGTGAAGACAACGCCACCACCGCCATCAATACCACAACCACTACCGTCAACATCAACACAATGGTATTCGTCGTCAACTCTTCGATTGGGGATGGTTGTTGGGTACGGCGGTGCGTCGACCTCATTGACCCACCTCTGCGCTCCTTGAACAGCAACTATTAGATAACCCCCACCTGCACTCCCTGAACCGTGTCGAGAGTGAGGAAGTGGGTCTCCGCCTGCACGATGAGAGAAGTGGCGCCCCTCATGAACAGGATGTACGGGGTGTTCCAGTTGGTTACCGAGTAGATCAACACCTGGCAAGAACATGATCGGTGCCCAGCAGCAGAAGCAGCGAGCAGCAGTCGTTATCAGACTCGGAACAACGAGTTGGGACGGCGTAGTCTGTTGGGCATGTTCGACTGGGCGTGGGGGCCCATCCCGAATGATACCGCTACTCAGGGGTCGTGTTACGTGGGAGGAGCGATCTCTCGTCGGCCACCAAGTTCGCCACCTGGTGTGGCATCATCACCATCATCATCACTATCATCATCAGAAGCAACCGCTGTCGACCGTGGTATATCAAGAGCAATGTCACACGGGGTGTCTCTAATGACTTAAATAAACACACCCCACTCATATTAATTCCTCTTCTTCTGGGCAAAAAATGAACTGGTTGCATTTTTGCTTGAGGTCAATCACACAACAAACAGCAGCAGAAACAACAGCAGTGGCGGGGAACAACAGCAGTAACGGGGATATTCCACTGATAAACTCACATCATTCTGGGATTTGGGACTTGGGTCCGCCTCTCGGCGCAGTCACAACTTAAGTGGGATGGATTTGTGCCCCTTTTAAAAAAAGAATGCGTACATAGGTCTATACATAAGTACGGCGACTTCACGGTTTAATTATCCGTGGGAAAGGCAAGGCTGATTCAGGAATACCTTTTTACTTGCTTCCCAGGTCCGACTAATTAGCAAGCACGCAGAAAGAAAAGGGGGTACTTACATTATTGGGAGCCCACGTGGGACGTCCCATGGGACAGCCCTGGGACGTCCCACCTGTCCCATGGTGTCCCATGACGACGTGTACCACCGTCCCATCTGTTACGATTGCAGCCCCCCCTCCCCCCTGCCCCCCCCCACGCTTGGAATTCCCTCTAA